ATAAGAAACAATACACTTGGTTTAATTTTTTTGTATTTTTTTTTTAATTTACAGGGCTGTTGAGGGCATGCTAAACTGTAAAAAAACTTGAAAACATATTTTTTTTTCTTTTCTTTAAATTAAAAACTGAGAGTAATTTTTTTTTTTTGAAAAAATCGTAATAGGATATTGTAGGAATCATTTCTTAGTAAAAGTCAGATATCTCAGTGACAAATTGACGTAAAGATAAAATAAAAATTTGAAACTGAACAAGCTATCCGGTTCATCCATTGATTTAAAAAAAAATCAAGTTTGTGAACCAAAAACATAAATTTACAATTTTTTTTTTGGAATTGCCTATCTCAGATTTTTTTTGCTAAAAGGCCTCAAAACTAAAAACTTGAAGCTTTAAAATGGTTTTCTTAAAATGTACAACTTTTCAAAAATTTTCAAAAAATATAAGAAATATTTTATTCCCTTCATTTTTTGGAGTAGTGTAATAAAAAATTAACAATTATAAAATTTTAATTTTTTGTTTTAGAAACTATTTATACAGGGTGTCTTATCCAAATTTTGCGTCAAGTTCGAAAAAAATGCAATGCCAATTTTAATGTGGCAGTTTTTTCATAACCACTTTTGTTTCCTCTCACAGTTCTCTTAAAAATTGAAAAAAAAACAGAAATTTCTAAATCTTGCTATAAAATTTTTCGATAAAATTTGCCTCTTCTTTAAGTTAAAATTGACCAGTTTTAGCGTTTTTCTAAACTTGGACAAAATCGGAGATTGTAGCAAATTTTAGTTGGGACACTGTATATTTTGTTTTTGAAACAAAAGCTCAAAGTTGCTACAAAATATGCAATTTAAGTGTTCATTTATTTCAAGGCTGAATAAACAATTAAAGTGACAAGTTATCTTTATAAAAATGTCTTTATTGTATGTAAACTAAAAAATTGGCCATTCTATGGAAATTCAGACTTATTGTAGTTCAAAAACTGCACATAGACATTCTCCACGCAAAATGGTTCTTTCCATGGACAGATGGGTGGGCAAAGTGGCCATCGTCACTGGGGCTAGTTCAGGAATTGGTGCTGCTATTGCCGACGCTTTAGTTTCAAAAGGCCTCATTGTAAGTTATTTCGAAAAATTTTCACATCAATAACCTCACTTTGGAGGTGGTTGGAATAGCTCGTCGCACTGACCTTATCGAAAATCGGGCCAAACACCTCAAAAACGGCAAACTTTACGCAGTCAAAGCCGACATGACTCAAGAAAAAGACATTTTGGACGCCTTCAAATGGGTTTTGGACAATTTAGGACCGGTCCACATCCTAATCAACAATGCTGGTTTTGCCAAAGAGGGGTATTTGAGTGAGGGTGATACTGAAACTTGGAGAAAAATCCTCAATATTAATGTTCTTGGGCTGTGTATTGCCACACGCGAAGCTGTTAAAATAATGCGAACCAAGGGCATAAACGGGCATATTATTCATATTAACAGTATTCTAGGCCACTCTATCAACACACCAAAAGTAAATGTGTATCCAGCGACGAAATTTGGGGTCACAGCACTCACAGAGACTCTAAGACAGGAATTGATGAGTTTTGAAAGCAAAATTAAAGTCACTGTAATTGAAAAATGCACATTTGGTGTGATTTTGAGTAAAATTTTTAGAGTATCAGTCCGGGTTTGGTAGCTACTGAACTGACCACTTTGAGGAAAGATTTGAGTGAAGAAAGGAAAAAATTGTTTGGGAGT